TTAATTTATCGAACACGGGTGAATTGCAGCTCTTTTCAGATGGGGAGCAGCATTACAGCAAAGGTCACAGCTAAGGCCAAGTCGAAGCAGAGAAAAGGTGAAATTGCTGCAGCAAGCCAAACGGTTATACGAAGATGCACTTCTTATGGACTCAGATAACCGATCTGTGAGAGAAGCACTGTCGTTATGCATGTCCGAGTTAGACTACTGGTACAAATAGGTATGTGATGTGAAAAAATATCATGGCATTATTATTGTAACCTTTTTGTTTTTCTCTTTCCTGCTTAGCTGAATTATTATACTAAAGTGGGAATAAACAATAAAGAGTACATCTTGTAATATTCAAATTATTGGGACACTACAGACTTTTGGATATTTTTGGCAAAAATGCATTTTTAGTCATGTTAGTTTAACGCCACAGCAATTGTAGTCCCAAGGTTCCAACTTTTCGCCTTTTGGTACCAAAAGGTGAAATGTTGGAACTTTGGGATTAAAATTGTTATGGCGTTGTACTAACAAGACTAAAAATGCAATTTTACCCAGATTTTTTTTCAAAGATTTCTATTGCTACATTGTATATCACCCCAAACATATCATATAAAAACCTGATCATATCCAAGAACTGTAAACATAGGATATAAGTTGAATGCTAAAAACTTTTTATGTTTCCTCAAAAAGTATCAAGTAAACAAAAAACACAATAAACACATCAATTTTCATCAGCGCGCAAAATATCTCTCTATATCATCCCGAGACTATCCTCCGACCTACCGTCCTTCCCGCCTAAAACTTTCAAAATTCCCGCCAAAGTCACGGCCCCCACGACCCCATAATCCTCGTTCACGACCCAAACGCAACTCACACGGTGAGTGAGCGCTTGTATCATCACCGCCACCAACGAGCTCCCGGGCCTACACGCAACCGCCTCCAACCTCCTCCCCGGCGAGCAGCTCCGGCCAATTCTCCTCGGCCCGCAATCCTCGTCCGACGAAAACTCGCCGGAAGACGAAGAAGACGAAGAACAACAACAACTAGAAGAAGAAGAATTAAGATGCTCGTCAATAAACTCAACCATCCCATCAAAACCCCTTTCACGGAGCTTCACTCTCATCAAACGGACCAAATCCTCCGGCGGTCGAGAGCACTCCACATATGTCATCAACTCGAGCGCCGATAAAGCCATGATGGCTCCGGCAGCTGTCTCGTCTAAGCACGACAATGCAAAAGGTGAGATTTCGCCTATCAGTCGGTTTTCCTCGTCAACCAAAGCTACAGACTTTTGCTCAGCCAGTGTCAGCTGGAAATGGTCGAGTGCTGAGCTGGCGGGTTCTCTGTAAGGTACGGTTATGATGTCATAGTCGATTATGTTGAGGGAATCGAGCGTGAATGTGGGGACTGGAGAGAAGGCTCGGACGGAGTTTAGGAGGAATCGGACTATGTCTTCTTGGGTTAGCCAGCAGTATTTTTGGCTCGGGAATTTGTTGGGCGATTGGTTTTGGATTGGGATGACGAGGTTTTGGGCGCCTTCGAGTATGTAGTCTATTGCATCCATCAAGCTGGAAATATTGGCAAACATAATAAGTATTATGAAGATAAGGTCACACACTCACACACACACACACACACACACAAAAAAAACAGCTAAAATTGAGAAGATGAGTGAAGTGTTAGTTTGCCAAAGCTTACCTGGTTTGTGATAAAGTTACTCGTGTAGAAAATTTATGAAAGTACAGAATGATATTTTGATAATAACAGATAAGAATATTGGATTGACTAGAAATTCAGGAGAAAAAGGAATGTATGTATTCTTTGTGTTTAGATATATAAACTGACAAAACAATCAACATTATGTACGTTTTATTTGCTGTTGCAACTTATATACGTCAATGTTTCTTTTTTTAATTTCAGATATTCAAGTAATTTTCAGCATCACAATTCTGGAAAAAAATCTGGATTCAAAGCAGGCATATTTGTTAAAAAAAGAAAATGTATGATGGGTCGACGGGTCTAGAAAGGACACATTATCGTTCCACTAGATATCTAACAAGCGATAAAGGAGATTCATATAATTCTGAATTAGATTTACACTTAAAGTTGAAACTGAATCAAAATCAAAAAACATTCAAAATAGGGAAGTTACAAGTGCTTCAAATAGTACTTCTTTTATGGCTACATTCTTTTTAAATGTCTTTCTCGAACACATTTTATTAGCGATTTATTAAGAAATGGACATTTCACTTTATGTAATCACTAGAGGAATAAATAGCCTAGCAAGCACAACTTTCATGAGCTCGACGAGCCAATCTAGATGATCAATATTAACAAGCGAAGTCAAAGTGATTTAATACAAAAATGTAGAAAATTATGCAAAAACCAGCATTAAAGAGTCTAGTTGTGCTGAGTTTATAAGTGACTTGTTTTATTGCACTACAAATTTCTAATATGGAATGCCCAAATCATGTTATGAAAAAACTGTTCAAAAATGATTTTTGTCTTTGTTAAGAAAAACTAAAAATGTGGCACACAATAAACAAAATAAAGAAACTGTTACATAACACATCTTTTGCTTTTCCCCCAAAAGGGGGAAATTATGTGAAGCATATAATACAGAAACCCACTTAAAAAATAAAAGAAAATCAGAGCAAAAGCCAATAAATCTCGAACACAACTTGCATCAATCAATTAAAAGAAGTAAAAAACAGTTCCTATTCAACAAACCAAAAACAAAACAGGGGAAGAAGAATAAGAAGGAAAAAAAAAAAAAGAAATCAAAAAGGTCTTTTCGTAAAAATGGCGGGAAAATCGAACCTGGCAGAAGGTTCAAGATGCCTCACGATCGGAGGACCTGCGGGCAGAAGATCGGAGACCTGAGATTCGAGCGCCTTGAAAGGATCCGCCAGATTCTCCTCCCGGCAAAGGAAGAGAACCGCGTCGGCGTTGCAGAATTTCCCCACGCAGGCGCAGGAGCCGCCGCCGTCCCCGCCGCACGCCCAGACGCTGACGTTGCCGTCGCCGGAGGCCCTCAGTACCGCGAGCGCGTCGGAGACGGTGGCGGACTCCGCCACGCACGTCAGCTCCGGCTTCCCTAAGCACAATTCCAATATATCTCCATTCAGAAACTTCACTGCCATACAATATCCGGATCTTCTGAGTGGAAAGTTCTCCGGCGAGAGGCTATTGTGCGCCCAACGATATTGAGAGAGAAACGGAAAAACCGTGTGTCTGTATATATAGAAAGAGGAGAGGAGATTTTGATAGCGGGTAGAGAATTTTGGGGGTACGAAAATTCTGGTTTGCGATTGGCCGACGAATTTTATATGTGTATATATAATAGTTACTGTAGTAGAATCATAGTTTGATTAGGAATGTGCATATTTTTATTGTAAGATAATATCACATATTTTAGGAAATAAGATATAATAAAAATAAGAGATTTATAATGTAAGTATATATTTGCATATTATTAAATTAATATATTATATATAAAAAAACTAATAACAAAATATTTTTATAATTTTATAAATTCTAATGGATAAAATCTAGATCTATCCATTAACAAGAATCTGATAAGCTATAAGGTATAAGCTTGAAAATTACTTATAAACTATAAGTTAACTTATCAATTATCAGCTAGCTGATTAGCTAGTTTTATCAAATATAATCATAAACTAAGAAGCACCAAAGTTTGATAAATAGAATTACGAGCACATATAAGATTGAAATATTTTGTATTTATATATAATTATATAGGGGATAGGTATCTTGTGGGCAATATAGTAAAATAATAGTTTCAATATAACTTTTGAACAAATTTTTTGAACGAAAAGAAATTAAATTATAAATAACAGGCAAATGATCTAACAAGAAAAGGAGCAATATAACTTATAGATGGATGAAATTTGTAATTGTATTGTTTTTTTTTTAAAACAAGCATTTCAATGTAAAGAAAATTTATATGTGTACAATTTCATTAATAAAAAAATACATAATTTTATATTAAAATATTACATATTAAAAAATAATAGTTCCTTAGATGAACTAACAACTGTATTTATAACCTTGCATAACTCGTAAAATGTCTTTAACTAAACGACAATGTTTTTCAACTCGACCCGGTTCAACTTGACGAATTGATGAGTTAACTCAGCTCGGTGAGTCCTTCGAATAGGTTGTCCAATTACCTGTTTTTTTAATTTTGTCAGGAGAGTCCCTCAAGTATTTTAGTTTTGCATTAGATTTTTTTTTTAAAAAAAGAAAAAAAAAATTGGCAACCAATATGGTTAGACTCGACCATTTATTTTTTGCTTTGTAAAATATTTTTTTTAAAAAAATAAAATAATGTATATATATTTATATAATACATATTTATGAGGTAATGAACTATTATTAATAGTTTAAGGTATAAAATTTATATATTGATAATGTGTTGATTTTTATGTTAAATATTTATAAGTACTTGATTCATGGAGAGTAGTCTGCCTAATTGCAATAAATGAATATATTTTTTCTCTAAGAAAATTATTATTGTGAAAATATTATATATATGTGTAAAGAAGGTTCAACATGACTGCTAGTTAGCATCAATTGCATGTATTAAAAATTATGAAATTTCATCCTAAAAGTATATGTTCTTGGTCAAAAAAATATGCCGGTGGAATTGAGGTTGATACGAATAGTTAATCAGACTCAAGTTGATTTTGATTAAATATATTAATAAATAAGTATAAAGTATTGAATATTGATCCTGCGACTACATGTGTAATTACCATTACCGGTCCAATTTTATTCTTTTCTAATTATTTTATGAACTATGGTCTATGAATCTATATATCAATTTGATGACCGGTCAATTTATTATTATTATTATTTTTATTATTACTTTGAAAATAAATTTTATTGTTGACAACGGTCTTATAGTGAAGTGAAGAAGATTGGCGTTAACCCAGCTCAGAATAAATTGCCTTCACTGAGATTGAAAACAAATTAAATGAATTTAATGGAGTGTAAGTTTCATTGCATACCATATTTTCTATCTGTAAGACCAACTTGATACTCACATTATATCAGTTTTTACACTGGTTGAGTTAAATATCTATATATATATATAATTGCTGGCAAACTTCAATAAATTTTATTCATTCAACAATTAATAATAATATGAGTTCATTTAATAAAAATAGGTATTCATTTAATAAAAATATGTTTACCACTTAATAAAAATTGTAGCTTTCAGTTACATAATTTATTTTGACATGTCCCCCTTTGGAATGTGCCCATTTTTGTAATGTATTTTTATGTCTTGAAATATAAAATATTTTTGTTTTTATTTTTGTACTATATATTTTTTGATATTATATAAATACATATTTCACAACTAATTAAGAATGACTATAAATATCTCTATTTTCTATTGTAGTCATACAGTTAATTAAAAAAAATATTGAATATTATAAAGATACATCAAATATTTTGAAAAATTAAATCTCAGACGAGTTCAACGAGTTTAACGATAAGGATTTGTTGTGATGGGGATTCTGAAAATTGGAAAACCACGAATGTTGTATATAAAAAAGTGTTTACTAATATTTAGATTCACTTTTTTGAATTATTTTTTCTCATTTATTAAGTTATTAATTTTATTTTATTCTATATTTTTAATTATTTTCTCTTTTATTACATCGCTTTTCGTGCAAATGCACGAGGTAAAACTAGTTGTTAAGTAATAATTNGAATTTGGGGAGTTTAATTAAACCAAATATTCTTTTAAATGGGCATTGGTCCCTATAATCTGTATTTGGATATTTTTTTTCTAACGAAACGATAGAACTATATTTGAATATTTTAAATGTTAGATTTGAACATATGTATGCAACTCTGAGGCATACATGATAGATGCAACTTAAGCATAGCAGAATCTACCATATATATGGACAACGTGAGAGTTGCATACATATAATCAAATCAACAATAAATTATTTAAAGTATGTATTCACTCGAATAGTACTCTATTCTGATACCAGCTATGTCGATTAGTATAATTTGGTTTTGATACATTATTCTATTTAGAACTTTTAATAGATAGTAAAATTTTGAGTTTCTTAAAATCAACTAAACTACTATTAGTAATACATATTGATTTTGTGAGCCAACCACTACGAGATGGAAACCATATAATTCTAATTCTAAATCAAGCATAGTCTCAGAAAACACAAACTTAATAACTTAACCATAGCAATATAATCAAATTGTTTTCCATAACAAATATTTCAACATATTTTTACTTTTATATATATATATATATAATTCTATTCATATCATCAATATCACTATTACACATTACTCGAATACAGATCCAAACATTAGTCTTTTAAATCAGAATTCAAGTTAAATTACTAATTCACATGAAAAAAAAAAATCTAAAATTTTTTATTATATCTTCATCTTACATGATTANAAAAAAAAAAAAAAATCATCTTTGCATTCTTTCAATTTTGACCAACTTTTAGGATGTTTATTACGTGTTTAAAATTATGTGGGCTAGAGAAATCTGGTAATTACTTGGTGGACCTCATTGATTCGGCTTTTGGACCATGTAATAGAAATGTGCAATCACAATCGACCCAACTTTAATAAATATTTTGCCTTTCTGAGCTAATTTGTTGGTTTGATACTTTAATTTGTCAAAACTTATTATGAGGCCGTACATCTCTTGTACGTTCACAAAATTGTGATTCAGATAGTGATATTTATGTTCTCGTCATTCACACATTACAATTAATTATAAAGAGAAATGTAAACATGAAATCTAATCTCCGATCAATCACAAATTATAAATATATATAATTTTTAAATGAACTATGATTCATTAAAAAAAGAGAGAATTTTGTAAGTCTTCAATCAAAACACGTTGGTTTTAATCCCTGTCATTTTTCTTTCTTTTTCAATTGTATAATAGTATGTATCCCGTGCAATGCATACTATCACTATCTCAATAATAATAATTTATATTTTAAAACATGAAATATTCATGTTTATTTAGTTATTTCAATAAAAATATGAAATATTCAAAATTAAAAGTATAATATTTATTTAGTTATTATTATTAACTTATATATATATATATATATATATATATATATATTAAAGCATGATATGTAATCATAAAGGTTTTAGTTAAAAAGTATCTATTTTATTGTTAAATCTATTGAGCACAAAATAAAAATGTGAAGGATTGATATATTATTTTATTGTAATTACTTATACATAGATTAAAAAAGTTTTATGAATATTTGAAAACTTAACTATCTGATGAAATATTTGATTTCAAAACAATATAGATGTTATAATTAATTTTTTGCTACGTTTATGGTTTTTAATTATCTTATAATTCCAAATTCTTTAATTGACCATAGTTTTCGGGTATTCTCAGAAATTTTGAGATTATTTTAATTTAAGGAGTACTTTGAATTATTCTTTTTTAGTTTAGTAAAGTGATTCCAAATTTTGGAACGATTGATAAATATTTTAATTTATATATAATAAAATGGAAATAGGAAAAATATTTTCAACATATTAAGAAATTGAAATTAAAAATCAGGAAAAAAACGTAATATCTTAAGAAATTGAAATTTAAAAGTCAGGAAAAAAAGGAAAAAAGACGTAATATTGGAAAAGGAAAAAAAGAATATAGGAACGAAAAAAATTGTCATGCTTCATAAGAAGAATTTAGAATATGATACTCGACAATTTATTTGACTTTTACCATTGTTCATAATTCTAAATATCTAATTAAGAATATTAAAATCAAATCAAAACAATACCCACAAAAGAAAGAAACAAACTAAAAAAAAGGGATAGAATTGAGATAAATACGGACATCAAGATAAGATGAAATGCATAATATATAAAAAATAATAATAATTTATGTTACTTTCAAACTAAATATTTCAAAATTTTCATGGGCGGGAGAAACCAAAAAAAATCAAAAAATATTTTTCGTTAGTAGTAAAAATTAAAAAAATTGAGCAGAAATTTTCATGCTATTTTTATATTTTTTTTATTGCTATTATATATTAATAGATTTTTGAATAAAAACAGAAAGAACAAATAAAATTATAAAATAGGAACTCGGAACTAGTTTTGCCTACTCGGACTTATTTGTGAATATGCGATAATGGTCCTTTGCAGTTGGACCCCAATATATGAGCCTAGCCCAATAGAAAAACTTGTATCTATTGAGAGGACGATCATCCAGGCATTTTGTATCTACACGACTACACCTACAACAATGCTATTGTTAGTTTGTTACCCATCATTTTCTTTTTCTAATATAAATTAAACGGCTTCATTAAATCTTTATGTGTATTTTACATTTAGTATTTTTTACTTGCACATACTCATCCATGTTCTTTATTCTACTCCAAAATTAAGAGTGTGCACACAAGCATACTTATATGGGTAAAATAAGAAGAAAAATGTGGGCAAAAACTCCAAGAATAAGAAGAAAAATTAGGGTACGGAAGATAAAGGGGGGAGGGGGAATTTTAAATCAAATAAGAAAGACAACGAGTTGGACAACAGAGAGCCAAATGTACGGTAAATTTCACTCAGAACATATTTAATTTTTTACGTTGAATCGAAATACACTTTTCTAAATATATATTTGTGTACGTGTAATCTAATAGTGAGAAATAATTGTGTGCACTTTAGACACAATTGGGTGCTTATGACACATTAGGGGTTGTAATTTATTATTTGAGTAATAAATTATATATTACTTAGTAATTAAATTATAATAGGGTTTGAGTATTACTAAAATATGTATTTTCTTTGGTCATTTGAGATAAAACAAATATATATGTATATATATATATATATATATGAATTGTCTTTTCTCATACTTTTTAAGAGACCTCATTTACTCGAATTGTGTATTTAAAGTATGTACTCGCACAAAAAGTAACATATTTCAGTACGAGTCATTACAATTGTATTAGAACCACACTCACCTTCACGATCTAACCTACCCAAATGTACAATCATGTTGTAATTTTTAAAATGTTAGTAAGTAGTACTAATTAATAAATGTTCAATAGTAGAAAAATGATTTTCTTCAAGAAAAATAAATAACAACAAGAAAAAAGAAATATTAATTTTACCCAAAATATTTAAACAATGGGCCTCTAAAATCAGGGAATCATCTAAAACCGACAAAAGTGGATAAGCTGAGTAGGATTAGTGTAGATGTCAACTCAGTTCGTTATTGGATAAGCATATTAACTAATTCCTACTTTTCCTCGAATTTAACTTTTAGTTATCCCATTCCAAACCACTAACATATTCGTATCAAAAGAACACCCATCAAATCACAAAACAAATGGATAAAAATAGAGAATAAAATAAAAAAGGTTCTTTTGGATAACATTGCCACACCGACTTTTGCTCTGATGAAAATGCCTATAAATAGTCCTTAGCTCCCACCAAACCTGACATCTCCTATCCATCCCCTATCATTTGCCCCCTTTTTAAGTTCAAGATTTCATTTTTATCTTCAGGGAGAGAAACCCAACAAAAAATACAAAGAAAAAAAAAAAAGAAAAGGAAAATAAAATGTTGGCCGTGTTCAAGAATGGAGTCATTAACCCACCAAAGGAGCTGCACAGCCCAGCTTCAACAGCAGCTTATGGCAAATCCAAAACTCCAGAAGAAACTCTCAAGGAATTTTTGGCTTCAAATTCCAACAATGGCTTCTCTTTGGGATTTGTGGACAGGGCAATCTTGGCCTATGTTCCTCCTCAGTCCTCTGTCAATGTCAAGCCCAACCAAAGGTATCTTTTTTTTGGAAAAAAAAAAAGGTTGATGAGATATATAGTGAATGTTGATTTGTGTAGCTAAAATGTGCTTTTCTTGATTAAGTAATGTGGATAATGAATGTTGATTTTTTGAAACAGATTAGGGATCTGTAAATGTTTTTGGTTGTTGATTGATATATGAATTTTTTAGGTTGATTAGTTGATTTACATAGCTAATATGCTATCTTGATGAGATATATAGTGAATGTTGATTTGTGTAGCTAAAATTTGCTTTCTTGATTAAGTAATGTGGATAATGAATGTTGATTTTTTTTAAACATATTAGGGATCTGTGAATGTTTTTGCTGTCTGATTTGGTTGATTAGTTGATTTATATAGCTCATTTGCTCTCTTGATTAATGTAGATAATTTTTGAAAATTGATTTGGGATTTGTTAATGATTTTGGTGTCTGATTTTGTTTGATTTGATTTTTTAATTTGAGGATGATTAATTTGTGGCAGATTGTTTTGTGGTGTGGATGATGTGTACTGCATTTTCATGGGGAGTTTGAACAACTTGCCCAACCTCAACAAGCGATATGGGCTGTCAAAGGGTGGTAATGAGGCCCTTTTCGTGATCGAGGCCTACCGGACGCTCCGCGACAGAAGCCCAATGCCGGCCCATCGGGTCCTCAAGGAGCTCGAGGGCAGTTTTGGGTTTGTGATCTATGATCACAAGTATGGGATTGTGTTTGCTGCCCTTGTAAGTGCATTTGTTGCATCATAACATAGAATGGATCTTTATTTCCTAGGATATTAGGTTTGGATTATTGTGTCAAAAATAATTGCAGAACAATTCCTTTATATGTTCGAGAATTACATATACAGCTCAACTTTGATTCTGTTTTAACGAAATCGCACCTCCAAGAATACGTAACCTGTTGCGAAAATAGAGTGCATTTACAATTTTTTCGGGTAATGTTGAATTGATTCTTGATAATTTCAGATCTCCAAGTAGATTTTTTCACATCCGGGAGTGAAATTTTGAATTTTGGTGATTAAATTTTCTTGCAGGGTTCTGATAAGGCAACGAATCTGTTCTGGGGTGTGGCGAGCGATGGCTCTGTAATGATTTCAGACGACGTGTGTCTAATTAAAGCAAGCTGCATCAAATCTTTTGCGCCATTCCCAAACGGTAAGTTTTAAATCTCTTTCTTGTTGATAGTAAAACCGGTGATCAAATTATGTATACAAAATGAAGTAAGATTTGGATTTTTCTATTCATAATCGGGACCCCTTTTTTTTGCGTTCGATAGGGTGCATGTACCATAGTGATAGAGGGTTGATGAGCTTTGAGCACCCGATGCATAAGATGAAAGCCATGCCTAGAATCAATAGTGAGGGGGCAATGTGTGGATCATATTTTGCGGTGGATGCTTATTCGAAGGTTAATAGCATGCCGCGTGTCGGGAGTGCCGCCAACTGGGCTACCTGGGAATGATCGTTCGCATTATCTCCGACTGACTTGCCGAGAAGAACGATAATTTTTTTTTTTTCCCCTATTTTAGGATGTGTTAATAATTTCATGTTGTGTTTCTATTCAATGTTTAAGTTGATGGTTTTTTTTTATCTTTTATCTTTTTTTCTTTTCCCTCTTATCAACCTCTGCATGTAAATCTGATCAAGAGGGGGTTTGAAAGTTGTCTTTAGGGAGAATTTACTAAGGTAGTTATAAGGGTAACTTTAATAACAGGTTTTGGTAAGGTTTACAAACCCCACCTTCACAGGTTTACCACTATAGTTGAAAGGTTTGAGGTTTAAAATTATGATACGGGTTTGTAAATTCAACACTGGTGTAAACCTCATAATTATAATATTTGAAAAAAGAAAAGAAGATTGGGAAAGGAGAGTGGAAACAATTCTGGAAGGACATTGAGTCATGCGCGTATCACGCGACTTAAATCATGTGAGGGTGCCTGGCCCACTTTGTCCCTTCACTTTGCACCACCCACGTTGTTTTTCATATTTAATTGCTTTGAATTTTTTATTCATTTATTTATGTATATATTATTATTTTTGACTTTATTCATGGCTCTTTCCTTCATTTTGTTGGCTTTTTTTTCCTTCTTCACACGATTTATTTATATCTAATGTATTCTTTTTTTTTCTAAATTAAAATCCTAAACTAAAAATATTAAAACCAATATTCAATATTTGTAAAAGAAAACTTTTTTTTGCAATAATAACTTATAAGTTATATTTCACTAATAGTTAAAATTTGTTATATTGATTTTACTTTGTTCAATTTTTTTATATTTAAGAAAATATGATACATGTTTTTAAGTGAAAAAATTATATGTGAATATAAATTAACATATTAAAGGATTGTATTTTACTATTTATTTTTTAATCTCTAAAATAGTGAAATGTCATTAATGATATTGTGATTTTAAAAAATAATGAACAGAATTATATATTGAATGACATACTATTGTAATTTAATGTTAAATAACATATTATCACGTTATACGGTATTTAAGTTCTATGTTTCGTGACCTTTTTTAATAAAATGTGTCATCGAGACGTAATTAACACTCTATAGTTATTAATATTGATATATAATTTTATATAACTATATTATTTTTTAAATATATTTATGATAACTATATAAAATATGTAGATTGAATTAAAATAAAAAGTGGACTTGTATTTTTCAAATATTATAAAAAATATAAGAGTGTATAATTAAAAGTAAGTGATAAACATGTGGGACCCATTAAAAAGTAGGTTTATGAAGTTTATTGTTATTAGAGGTTTATGTGGGTAGGAGTAAGAATAAGGTTTTGGATGATGTGGCATGTTGGAAAATGTGAAAGGAGGTTTAGAGAGGTTTATTGTTAAAGATGCTCTAATGTGACTGGTGAGTGTTTCGAGGAGATAATGTCACTAATATGATTGTCAATGGCAACTGATCTTTTACCGTAGCAATTTTATGTTATTAATCACACAGCTCTATACTCTTAGTCACTGTTAAATCGGCCTAGGCGGCGCCTAGGCGCTAGGCGGTGCCCGGGCGCCTCCGATTTGTACAAATCGGCAGAAAAAATCGGCCAGGCGGCTAGGCGGCGCCTAGGCGGGCCTAGGCGGCCTTGGTGGGCTCGGCGGCCAGGCGGTTAGGCGGGCGTAGGCAGACCTAGGCGGGCTCGGCGGCAATTTTTTAATTTCTTTTTAATTATTTTTATTTTTTTAAATACTAATTACATTATTTTGTTCTCATATTTTCTTTAATATATATTAATATTATTATTTGGACTTTGGTATGTGAATTTATTATATGTTGAGATAATTTTATTTTGTAGGTAGTTAAAATAAATAAAAAATAAAATATTTACTATTGATTTCTGGGCCCCGACTAGGCGCTCTAGGCGCTAGGCACTGGTCGAGCGCCTAGCGGGCGCCTAGCGACTTTTAGAACACTGGTCTTAGTCCCAGGAAAAAGCTCTAACTAAATTGTTATGATTTAAATCCACTAATGGGTTATTTATCAGACCAGACCACAACGGTAATGTAACAATATTTTTCTGATCTAAATTTTTGAGTCTTGAGACAGCCAATATTAGCAGGTGATTACATCAGTTTCAGGTAATGTACATACTGTGATGCATCATGCATGAATACAATTTGCACAGATTTGGGTTAATATATGTCAGCATAATCTGGCTAAAGTCCCCCAAAAAAAAATAAAAATTGCGCGTATTCTACACAACTCGAACCCAAGTTCCTCCACACATTGGACATCCATAGGCCCACCGGCTGATCCACCAAATTTCTTTCTCGTTTTGATTAGCAGAAGTGGTGGCACCAGGCGAAGCAAAAGCACAAGTCTGCCGCAAACATCTTATGCACTGCACAAGCGAATAACCGAAAATAAGTAAAAGCTTATCGATTATCCGAAACTAACTTATAATACATGATTTTTTACATTTTAACTTTCCAAGATTGTTTGATCTGCATAATATATGATTTCCAAATCACTAACAATTAAATACAATATTAGTGGTGTTTAAATCATGAATTCTGAAGTTCTTGACTTTTTNATAAATCAAAGAGATCTACTGCTGCAGCTTTTCGTAATGCAGATGATTCGAATTTAGATATATATTATTAACATCAAGGAAAACACTCGAAATAATTGCATATTACCTTGTACCACACTCCTTCAAGACCTGCCTTCCACACAGCTGTTACAACATCTCTTCGAGATCCCATGATACCATAATATGCTCCGAGGCCCACCGAAGTGTTGAGTCCAAAAGCTGCATCTCGTTCAGACATCCGGCGCTTTCTTGGCCACAACGTGTGAGTTCCACCGTAAGCATCATGTGAATCCGGGTCGAGCATACCGTATTTGGAATGATCATCTGAAAGACTCGTCTCGTCTGGTTCAGACCAGGGCCCACCGAACATATTTCTCTTGTGCCATTCTTCGGCTGGAGGATGGAGTTCCAACTCGCGGAGGAGAAGACCTGCTGCATCTGCACCTCTTGGCCGGGGCATATTCTGCAGGAAAAAGAAAAATGGAAATAAATAAAATACCCAAAAAAATAAAAGGAAAAATTACACTTTGTTTACCTAACTATTCGTAATTTTACACGTTGCCTAAATAACTTTCATTCTTTTTTTNGTGAGGCTGCTCCAAAACGATTGGCGATCGATGGCAGAAGAAGTTACAACTTGGAATAGCTACATGATAAGACGAATACCTGCATATGAGGGCCAAGTGATGCTTCTACAACCTCGGGTAGAACAGTATAGTTTCCATCAATATAATGAAGGCGGACTTGAATGTTGTTGCTCCCAACCTGGGAAACAGGCAGTGGATGACCCAAAGCAGATGTCCTTCGACAGAGGTCCATTAGTATCAGAAAAAGGACCTTCACCTGCAAGGATATATACTAGCATCACACCATCTATTCTCGGCTCAGATAAACTCGAATGATGAGTTGGGGACCAAAAAAAAAAAAAAAGGTGTTACATTTGAAGTTTGAACTTCGCTATAACGGGTTGAGCGCCGTTGTCAAATTTTTCTCTCTTCACAAGCATATATTCATTTGAAACAATTAAAACCTAAATCTACTATTTATTGAATTTTGTTTTTCACAGAGAAAAGGTGAGAAAAAAAGCTAAAATTGATATGGTAATTGATTTACCTCCTCAAATGTATAACCCTGACCAGCATTTCCTGAACCTAATCTCGATCGGCTAGTTGGACCTTCTTCAGGCCCCTTTGCACCATTCACAACAAGTCCAGACCTTGAGGAGGCTTGTGTTTCTTCTGATCTCATCATAGTAGATGCTGGCTTTCCAGTGACTGAGTTGTTTTCTTCAGCTTTGCCCGGCATACCAAGCTGAGGCTTTTGACTTGAGGAATCGGCATTTCTCTGAGCAGCTCCAATAAAACGAGGTAGCTGAGTTCTTCGGAAGAAAAAACAAAATAACAGGAGCTGGCATAAACGGTGAAGGAAATGGCAGTCTCCAATAAGCCTGACAGCTGGAGTTCCTGGAAAGGTTCCTGTGTTTATACTAATTGGCATGAAGTTCGAGGGGCCACTCATTGTGTTTGGAGCTGAATTTGGAACACTATCACTTGTACTACTAATCTTGGCAATAGCTCCTTGTACCCAGGCCTGCATCTGAGTACTGCCTGTGGAGCTCGTGCTTCCACCTTGGGCTGCTGAAGAGAATAGGGAGATTTTCAAGAGTTGGCATTCTACATTAGATAAATTGATAAAAAATCGAAATATTTGAAATACACAAGCGAACCAACCTTGAGTTGTGACGGGTGTTGAGGTACTCTGGGTGGGGCTTGTCACCAAATTACGGCTCCCACCAGTGCCAGCTGTAGCAGCATGACTCGCTAATGTACGACAGAAACTAGCATAACGACGCAAACGTGTAATGAAATGTGATGCTAAGTCAAGGACAGCATCAACATAGGCCTGCATCATCATTTACCGAGTCAAGAGGTGGAACATTACTAGCGAAGAAGAAATATAACAAGAATATGTGGTTATACATGCAAAAGATTCGTAAAAAAAAAAAAAAAACNAAAAAAAAAAAAAAACAACCTGGATGCTAAGAACGAGTGCTGGTTCTACAGCCATTGCTTCAGGGTCGATGCCAGATAAGGTCTCACCAGATGCTTGCCAGGGTTCTTGAACCAAAGCAGAAGGATTTATTAAAGCTGACTCAATTCCTTTACCAAGCATGTCGAGCAATAACCTGGCTTGCATGTCAAGGACCATCGCCCTAACCTCTTGGGCAGTAGTACCTTCTAGCAGCCTACACTTTATTCTGTCCAAACTCTGTAATGACCACAGGAATATATCAAAATTTTGAGAAACACCATGTCTAAGTGGACTGGTGGAGGCAAGTACGGAATGGACAATATGAATAAACCAACTTACAGGCCCATACTGCTGTCTGTGCTGAGTGGAGGGGAGAGAGTGGAAATCGGCATCCAATACAGCAATAACACTATTCAGCGAAACTGGAATACAAAAAATTATTGTATCAGCAAGCTACAAATAACAGGGTACAGGGATATATTCTTAAAATAGCCTATGTTGCTGATATAGTTGTTTTAGCACCTAAAGCATTTATTTATACCAAGATTAACACAGACAACTGAATTAAAAAAGTCGTTCACAAAACTAAGGCAGATAGCTTTTTCCACCTCAAGAGAAACTTGAGCAACTTACCAATTCCATCCTCCGCAGCACTCTGTGTACAACCAACAGCATCCCACCAATCAACTCCCACCAAAAGGCTCCACCAAAATCTGCCAAGACACAAATCACATTCTGCAGCTAAGAGGAATTATAAAATGAATCGCAAAACCAATTGAAACGCATGATACTATAATATATATTCAAACGATTTATCTGTATATTTTTATCTGGTGTACCTTTCAGCAATAGCCCGCTCCCATGTTGCAGAGTTAGCTTTTGCTTCACTATTAGGGACGGGAGGAAGAACCCTTATGATTTTTAGTATAGTGCAATCCTTGCTAGTATCATGCCAAACAGAAGCTGAACAGCAGCTAGTAGAAGAGAAAGCAGGAGCAGCGATTGCAGCACCAACATTTATCTGATAGGTGTCAACAGCTGTGAAGTCTACACCGGCGAAAACATGAACCTC